AGCAGGTCAGCATTACCAGGTTCACTTTTTTTTGGCTCCAGGCGACAGGTCAGCAGATCAGTGTCTGCTCCCCGCAGCTGGCAGGCTCCCCGACCCAAAACCCTCCTCCAGCATTGGCCTCAATTCCTGTCCAATCTGCACTTCTCTTTACAAGCCTGGACAGCGAGCACACAGAACAGCTCCAGCAGCTTAATGCGATAGTGTTGCTGGAGCCAACTAGATTCACCCTTGCAAATTGAAGGACGACTCTAGGTACTCTCCAAATCCACACTTCATTAAGGTGGAGAGTCCCTCCTGGTCAGCCTTCACCATAAGCACCAGGGGGCTGAGACCTGCCTTCCAACCTCACCACAGTTAGATGCAAGTCAAGAACATCCAAGACCACGATTGGAGCCTCTGAGCAACAGAAGAGCCCAAGCACATTGCTTTTCTTCCTGATCTGTCAGCCTCACCTTTAATTTCCATACTGTATCCCATGGCCCTTCAGAAAAGGGGAGCTCATCCCTCCATCACTTCCCTGTGATGGGCATGAAAAGAAGGAAATGGATTCTGAAAAGTACCAGGAACAAAATCTTTTGCTTTATCTTCCACACACAAACATCAAGCTTGAGCCGACAGGACTATCTGCAACAGAAAATGGTGCCCCCCAAAATGGAGAGATCTACTCATAGAGGTTGACATACTTGCTCACCTTCCAATCCTTGGTTACACTAACAGCAAAACCCATCACTGATATAAAATAATTCTGCTGTGTGTACAAAGATCTTTGAGCACAGCAGGTAAAAAAACCCCACTTGCTACAGTATTTCCAATGAAAAACCCAAACAAAATCTAAATAAACAAACAAAAAAAACAAAAATCAATGTATAAAACAACAAAAAGCCAAAACCAAACAAACCGAACAAAAACCTCCAGAACCAACCCAAAACAGAAATCACACATTACTATTTATTGTCTAAAAAAAAAAACCCACACTTGGATTTTTTAAAAAAAAAAAAAAAAACAACAACCACACCACACTTGGGCTAAAACTGCTCTGAAGCTGTTGCTTATGATCCACTCAGCAGCTTTCACAAATTTGCATAACTTTTCAGCAAAACTTCAGCCTTTCCAAACTTGTAATCTTCTGCCACTTATGGATAAATGCAGAGACAAATTTTGCATTAACCCTTGTCAGCTGCTCTCGATGACTATCAGTACCTGACTCACCAGCTGCCTCATCTTTAAAACATACCTGATGCACATCTTTTTGCATCTTTCAGTACTCAAGGGTGCATCTATTTATGGATACCCAACTCACCTGGCTAATTCGTTAGAGGACAAAGGCAACACCAGCCAAACATAGGCAAGTAGCAAGAAAAAAAAAGCCTTATTTAGATTAAAAGCTCACAGAACAAGAACCCTCACTTTTAAGAGCCCTCATTTTTTTATCTGGGTATCTTCTACATGGAAAGTCAGAGCAATAATGGTGATGCTCTCAAGGATGCAGTTCTAAGGCTTGGGGTGGGGAGAAAAGAAGTAGGCATTGAAGAACTCCTATTAAGCAAGGCAAAATGAAGAATGTGTGGTGTAAATATGAAGTTTACGGAGTTGGTTGGAAAAAAACTCTACTCTATATGCCACTAGGGAAATAAGCACAACTCTTTTTCATCCCGAGTTACTACCCTAAGTACCGTTTACAGAGTTGGTTGGAAAAAAACTCTACTCTATATGCCACTAGGGAAATAAGCACAAATCTTTTTCATCCTGAGTTACTACCCTAAGGACCAGACAAGGAGACAGTGATTGCCCACATGCAGCATTAAGTAGATTTTAAAAGATTTACATTTAAAAGATAGGAACAACGACCAATTTTCCTAAGATTCACTGACCCTTCTTCAGGTGCCCAGCTGATGGTTCTGACATCAGGCTGCCTGGCAGGCTGGAGCAGAAAACCAGTTTTCCCCAGCAGCAGGAGAAAGGATGCCATCTCGTGGGTGGTTTTGCACACTGTCATCGAAGGAAACCAGCCCCCTTTTCTTGCAACAACCTTCCAGAAACACTTTTCTGTTAAAATACATGTTGTTTAATGGCAGTCAAAAAACTACCTGGAAAGTATCTCTGAGCTAATAGCCTAGCTCTGAAAAAAACAACTAAGTCTGTTGTGATTAACATGATTCTTCAATGCAGATGGTCAACAACTCTAGTAGAGTACAAGAAGCTTGTTTTTTCAACACAACTCTTTCCTAATAACAAAGTCCTACAATAGCTGTATGAATACCTTCTCAAAGACAGTAAACTCACAAATAAGTAAGACTTTCTACTCACAAAGCAAGAATTTCAGCATTTAGTGGTTTTTTCCTTCTACAGCTGAAGCCAAATCCTATTGCAGGGATATCAAGTCAGAGCGACACGTGACAAATGTATAAAAATCCCTGGCAGCATAACAGTAACACACAAAAAGTACTCACAAGACAAAATTACATCCATGAAAAAAGAGCCAACTACAGCGGGAAGTAGGCAGTAAGAAGTTCAAGATATCAAAAGGACATATAATTGAACACAAAAAAGTTTACATAGATTCATAAACTGTACACATTACTATGAGGTGTATTATTTTGTTATTTGGGTATGGTGCAGCTCACATGTATATTATATACCATTTGTATAAGGCAAGCATAGATCCAAGGGCAACTTCTGGAGTGGACACTGCACACCAGCAACGCCAACACGCCAACATGCTCTAGAGCTAAAGCTGTCTTTGTTTCCACATTTTATGAAAGCAGGAGGAAAACCCAGGAGCTTACACATAGAATCCAGAACTAGCAAACATGAGATTAGCCTTTGAGCGAACTGTTAATGAACTTGTTTTCCCCCCAAAAGGTGAAGCTTTATAAACACTTTGCTCTTTCATTGTTACCAGAAAGAGACTAGTGCTAAAACAGCAGGATTATCACTCCGCTCCTAAAGCTGCACCTCCTTTCCAAGTATTATTACATAAAATTAGACTTGAAATTACACTCCTAGGTCTGATCATAAGCCAATCTGACAAAAAGCCTGCTGGGAGCAGGCAATCAGTGAACAGAAACCACCGAGAGCAGACACGGAACAAGCCCTGTGGAAGTGCCGGAGGAAAAGAAAAACCATCCCCTCCTGAAACACCACATCCTGCTCCCACTTCCCTTACATTCTCTGCACCAATGAAAAACGTGATAAGAAAAGATGAGAAATCCTAATGCGTTCCCTTTTTCCTTGATAAGCAAGTTATTAGCAAGCAGCACATTGCTCTGCCTCTTTGGGACAACCAACCAACTTGTTCCTATTTTCTCCTACTATGAGATGAGCAATTAACTGTTCTCAAACCTTCACCACCAGCATACTCCAGGAACCTGACTAGGACAGTGATCTCTCATCATCTTCATGTTCCTGACCAAAAATAAATGCAATTCATGCTGCAAGAAGTCTGAAAAAACCCAAGAAAAATCAAAAAACACACACAAAAAGAAAGGAGGTGGGAATCATCCAGTTCCACTTGTTACAACTGCATGTACAAGATGATTTTTCTCAAGAGCAATTCCCTTTTCTGTATAAGAAGATGCCATTAATAGCACTAAACAATGTGGCCCAATCAAAAACCTAACACTTAACAGTGAATATTCTGATTTTAAATGAAGGAGTTATTAGACTTCGACAGGCAGAATCACTTGGTTCCATTTCTCTCCCACTGTGAAATTACCTCATTAAATCTTTAACAGCTTGAGGTAAGTAAAAAGCTTTTACTCCACCGTCTGATAAAACAGGTTTTGTGAAAAGGATTCATACTATTTCTGTCCATTCTTTGCCATAGGAGATTTAGCACAATTCTAACTTCATCCAAATGTATGTATTCTCAGCAGACGAAGGAGAGAATCTCAAACATGCTACTTACTAGCGTGCCTCTAGAAAAAGCTTCATTATCCTCATTAAACAGAAAGTACTGAGAAAATTAAGGGGGCTTTCCCAGGTTGAACACAAGTATCTTTCACATGAAGCAGTAAACCAAGCTCAAACCCTGTGTGTGTGATATCCAAACACTCCTACTTCCAAACAATCCCAGCAGTGTGCTCACATAGCTCTGGTAATGAATGGAATAAAGAAACAATAGGTAAAATTCAGTTCTGTGGTTCACATCATGAAAGGTGATCTCTACTATAATGCTCATAGCAAGATACTTATTTACAAAGAAGCATCTGTCCTTCCAAGGTAAGAACAATGTAAATATTTAGAGAAAATAAAGCAGTGCTGAAACATATGACACACAAAAGCATTGTAGTTACACAGAAAACCTTCTGCAATGGGAGAAAGTGATCAGCAGATGCACCATTTCCAGCCCTTCTTTATACCACACACACACCAGAGACCTTAAAAAACTGGTCCAGTGCTCCAGATGTCAGAAAGTTGTTAGGTAACAGTACATAAGAGACTAGCTGGTGTTATAAAACACCCTTTTTATAAGAAGCTGAGTTTATTCCGCTTCTCATTAGATAAAATAACTACATTAACAACTGCTCTTCAGCTACTTCAGGGAAGCAAAGTCACAACATGATCTGGCAGTTTATTTTGATATCCAGATTTCAAAGAAATCACATTTACAAGAAAGTTGTTTTTTCTTTTTATAAGTAACATATATTCTCTTCATATCCTAAAATTCTTAAAAGCTCACTTACTAAGCTAGCAGAATCTCTAAGCAAACACGAACACAGCTAGATACAAATAGTTCAAAGAATGCAAGACTGAACCTTGGCCTCAGAGACACTGGTCAAGCTGCCTTGGTGAAAAACTTTGTTAGTCCCCAAAGATACTTTATAACAGTTTGTACCTTAAGGTTCTTCTACTCAAACATAATAAAAAGTACTGGAAAAGCTTCCACATGAAGAAAAGACAGCAAGAAAGGACCATCACCACACTTCAGAGATTAGATGATTAGGAGGAAAGGAAAGTGGTTTAGAAGTTTTCCCTCCCTCCAGAGCTGTGACACATACCTGATATTCAAGCCAGTGCTCTGGTCCAGTTTCTCCCAGCTTTTTAATTTTCCCAGAAGTTTCTAAAGTAGAGATCAAAAGAAGAGTTAGAAACACAGACAAATGCTCATTTTCCACACCATTTTCTCATAATTCTCCACTCAAACTCCCTGTCTTTTCCTCCCATGGATTCCATTATCTTCTTATCTAGCACTTTTGGGTTGTCATTCTCCAGCCCTCACAAACCTTTGCCCTGTCACCACAGCCCTACAACATGTGAAACCCACGTTAGACATCAGGACTACAGATTATCTAACCCTGTGAGCTGCCATCACTGCACTACACCTGGGCAGACCAGACCCTTGGCAGCAGAGAAGAAAAGCTGTGTCCTCGACATGGGTTCTGTAGCAGCTGAAATGCCCAATTCTCTGTTTCCAGTTCCTCCAATAGCTTTTTATTTTCAGTCAGTACCAGATAATATTACCTAAACCTGATCAGACACCAGTAGAGTTCTGCAGATTAACCTAAATGTGTAAAGTTTATCTCTTGGCAGCTCGCTGTATGCTTGATACAGAGGGGGATGGAAGCAAGACAGTTTTATTCCCTTGAGACCACATTCTGGCAGCAATTCAAACATGTATCAAGGTTCTTACCACACACCTCTTTGGCAACACCAGCTGGGCAGAGCTTAATGCCAAAAAATAGCATTTCCAGCAGAAGAAAGGTAGAAGTGAGACAGCAAGGCCAAAAAAGACCCTATGATGAGGTTGTTCTTTACAGAAAGTCTCCAGCTGAACAACAGATATCCTCTTGCCTTCAACACTTTCATTGCCATAGCTCCCCTCATGCTGACATTTAAGTTTGGGAACGCCTAGTTCGAACCCATTAATTAAAACAGGTATCATATCTCAATTAACACAATATAAGAAGAGCCTAGAAGAGGATAGGCACAAAGGAAACCCCTATTCTTCTCATCCACCAAATGTTCCTAGCTCCTCACCTCATTTTCCAATTCAACAGACACAAGCTGTGCTTGGACTTTCTCATAACGTTCCAGTTTTCTTTGGAGACCTTCTACCTCCTCTTTAAGCAATCCGTTGTTTTCTTTCATTTCCCTATGGTGGAGAGAGAGACAATGATTAAAGAGCCACACAACTCAACTCCCTCTCACAGACTTCCAGCTACACATGGAATTACAGGGAATCAAATGACATTGACCAGACATTGTGACATTCAGCTGACTCACTTCTATAACCCTCACTGCAAAGCCACTGCCACAAACACATGCAGCTTTAGTGAACTCTTTTTTTTCTACTCTTAAGTGCCATCCTAATTACAGGCAAACAACCCGAAGTTTTGTGGCTGCTTTACTGATTGGCAAAACAGCATGAAGGGTAGTAAAAGACTCCCAGCTCTGGCCTTCAGGCAGGCAGGCAGAATGCAGAGCTGGAGCACAGCAAGCAGTTGTGGAGTGCTCTGTGATGACTGAGCAAGCATTAAGGCTGCTTGTTTTTACTTCAACAGAGGTGTGCAGGGGTGAGATCAAACTGGATAAAACAAAACCTCTAACCTGTTGATACCATGTTTACGTGCACACAAAAAAACAAGCATGAGAAAAGATTGCAAGATGAACAATTTCAAATGATAATGAAACACTAACAAAGCCAAGGAAAATTATTTAATTTTAGAATAAGAAAAAGCTGGCAAGATCACTCGTGTAATTCAGGCTTTTTTTAAAAAAAAAAGATGCTTCAAAAGATGGAAATAAAGTTTACTTAAAAAAAAAATATTTATCTTTAAGGCAATTTCATAGAACATTGGACTTTCATTTTTCAAATTAATTGTCACTTCAGAAACCCAGAAAGCCTACTCTACTGAGGGCTATTGCCAGAAAGCTTTAGAAATGTAAACAAAAGACTTCCAAATATTGTGCTGAAACAACAGGCCCTTAAAGCAGTAATAACAATAACGAAGCAAACCCAGTTATTACAGAAATGTTCAGCTGTCTCTTCTCTCTCCAGGGACTTCTTTCCCAAACCTATATAGAGTTCATCACTATCTTTAAACATTGGATGTTGTTCTAACAAATAGGTATTACCATCCAGAACAATCAATATGCTCTTGCTGTGTGCAGGAAGATTACCCAGATCTTGTCAAATCCTCTCACCTGGTAACCATCACAACACTGCTCAATTCGTATGCAGAACGTATATGAAACGTTTAAACTTCCTCCTAAAGTTTCTCATATGAAAGCCCAATAGAGGGATTTGAAAGGGCATATAGTGCAATTGTAGCAGGTAGAGAACACCCCAAAATAACCCTCTCAACAACTGAACCCTTCTTTCACCTGAAGTAGGCATTTTCCTCCCTGAGTTGGCGCAATTCCCGTTCCATTTTTGGGAAACGGGCCAGCTCTGCCTTCATGTTCTTGACAATTAGAGCATCATGTTCCTGCTGGGAGATCTTCTGTTCCAGATCCTGGAAAACACAGGATGACAAGAGGGCAGAAATTACTGACTTGGAACTCTTAAGAGCTACTTCTATTTTGTACTTTTTAAGCTCGAATCAATAACTCAAATGAAGTTGGAAGAGGCCATCTGGTCCAATCCATTGCTCAAAGCAGGGATGACTCTTGTGCCACTTGTAACACCTGGGCTGGCCTCTTCTCTACACCTGTGTACCCTCAGTTCATAACAAAAAGAGATCTCTATTAATCATTAAAAGGTCCTTATCTACTGACTAAACCAAATATGTGATTTTTTTTGTTGTCTATCCCTCCATCAGTGAAGTGTAGAGAAGTGCACTCGGACGGCCTGCAAGAATTAGGAATTAAAAGAAACACAATGATTTTAGAGCAACATTTACTGTAATGCTTTCTCCTCCTCCCCTCTCAAAAAAAAAAAAAAAAGTTCATTTAGAGCTGTATTGCAGTCTGACACCCTGTTTCCAGACCTTTCTTTTCAATGGAGGAAGTCTCTTCTTGCAGTCTCAGACCCAGCACTGAGGCTGGTTGTACCTTTGCTTGACAGCAGCCACAGGCAATGCCACCATCAGCACCTGCTCAAACCAAAGCAACTCTGCACACCTGCCTCTCACAGGAAGGTAAAACAAGTGAAAATGATACACACCCATACCTCTACACCAACTGAATTTAGCCAACTTCAAGCTCTTGCTGGCCACCAGATGAGATCCTTCTATAAAAAAACCTAACCTTTTATTTCTGCAATAATTTAAAAAGCAAAACCACAAACAACGCTTTTCTGTTCTTCCGTGGAAGGAATTAAAAACTAAAGCTTTACACAGGCCACAAAGTTTCTTACCTTAATCTTCTGTTCGTACTCTGCCAGTAGAGATTGGCATGATTGCAACGTCTGGATTTGCTGAGTGGCCTCTTGCCATTTTCTATTAGATGTAGACACAAGAGGCGTTTAGCACCCAGGAATCACACACCAGAAACACCTCACATGCAGAAGCTTCTCTAACAAACATTTTCAAACAGCACTAAGAAGGTAGATGGTACTGTTACAGAAGATGGTCTCTCAAACAGTTTCACACTCATACCATCTCCCTCTGATTCAGAGACAAAAATACCCATTTTTTACTAGAAAGATGCATCTTGAGACATACCGCCCCTGACCTCAAGCCACCTTAACTCTGAAACCAACAAATATACACTCACAGTAAATAACCCTTTGAAATTGAAGAGCTGAACTTAGTAAGCACATTAAAAACACACACTCATCTCTTTCAACTACCCCTCAACTACGATTTCTGGCTTGGTATTTTTGTTCTGTTCCATCTATGAAGTTCAGATCAGCCGTTCCCACCCACATGCCTTCTGTTAACTCTCCACCATGAACATGAGACATCGCTGAGATTTTAAGCTCAAGTTGTTGTTTTTTTCTCAAGGTACAATTAAATTGCACCTTGGAGCTAGTTTCCAACAACGGTTATAACCTGCACATCCAGATCAAAGAACCCCTTTGAAGAGCGGAAATCAAACGCCGTTGGAAGTTTTGAGTGAGGAAAACAGCAGAAGACTGAAGTTTTGTTTGTCTTTTTCTCCCTACAGTCATTCATCCCCTGCTTACTTCTGTTGAACATCCAGCTGTTCCATCAGCTCCTGCTTCTGAGAGTCTTGGCTTGTCATCTGCATCTCTTGGTTCATTATATTCCACTGCAGCTCTGATATTTTCCCTTTTAATACAGTGATTGTCTGAATTAATGGGGAAAAAAAAAAAAAAGAATAAACACACAGAGCTATGAGTCTCCAAGCTGGACATTATGGATGGTGACAGAGAGAAGTCATATCCAACTAAAAAGGATAAACACCAAACCTAGAAACAATCCCACACTTCTGCAACCCTTCAGACCTGTGAACTCACCTCAAAAACAAAGGCAAGAGAAAATCATTTAGTTACTTTCATCTGTCACCCAAATTGTCATTTCCATTACCTATTAAGTGGGTGACCTCAAACTGGCATGAAAAATACCAAGCTTCAAAGGTAGATGATGATAAAACACAAGTATATATATATATTAAAGTGAAAAATTTACCCCACAACCATTCCAAATATATTTTGTTTGGGTTTCAAAATTGAAATGTCTGGGTTTGCCTCAACCAAATACAGAAATATTATGCTTCCCTTAGAAGTAGAGGCCAGTGTTTTTTAAAATTATGTTCTAAATACCTTAACTCCAAAGAAAATCTCACAGGTTTGTTTCAAATCTCCATTACTCAGCTCTTTGACAGCAGAGACACCCACCCCCAGGGTTTATCCACTGATGATGAACATAGTGATTCCAATTTAATTTTTTTTTTTTTTTTTTTTTAAATCAAAAAGGGCATTTTGGGGCATTTTCAATTCAGAAGAACTGCAAAGTCACCTGAAGCTATGAACAGATAAAAAAATTACTCTGCTCTTACTTCATTAGCTTCAGCTAATTTGCTCTCCTTCTCTTGCAGCTTCTTACTCATCGTCTCCATGCTCTTCTTATAGGACTTGTTCATCTCCATTTGTTCTTTCAGTTTATTTTCAGCTTCTGCTTCCCTTTCCTGATATTGCTTTATGCGTGTGAGCAGCTCCTGGTTACGGTCAGCCTCTCGCTTGCAAATAAAAAAAAAAATAATGCAAAGAGATGTAAGAAGAAAGTAGCATAAAGGTGAAGCCGTTTTCATTTCTACCATCTCCATTTCTCATTACTGGGGTCACCAAGGCATCACCACGAAGCAGCATTCCTCAGACCACAGCTTTAACCTCCGCATTGGCAAGGGCAAAACCATCTTAATTCAACATCAAGGAACTACCCAGGGCAGTGGAGCTAAAAAATGAAGAGACAGAGTCTTCCAAATCTCTTAGACTGTAGCAGGAATATGAGAAAACAGACATGGCTTCACAGCCTCCACTGCACACTCTCCAGCAGATCGAAGATGAAAACACTTGATGCTCCAACCTAAAGCTGCCCCATGCATAGCAAATTGACTCAGACCTCAATAGCTGGGTTCATAAGACAAACTTGCCTCTACAGCTTCTGGAAATTGTATCAGGCTCTTTAATAGAAAAGAAATGGGGTTTAAACGCACAGTATTATCAACAACTACAATAAATATTTTTACACTCTGACAACCTTTCATACCCCATTTCAGTTTAGCCCGACCACAAATTGATTAACACTTATTGAAAAAATGTGTAGTGAATTCCTTTGCTAATCAAAGCAAATCGAGACACAGATTTACATAGTAAGCAAGGATTATGCAAAGCAACGTGAGGTTCCTAAAACCTTTATCCACATGACTCAAAAAAACCCACAGAATCTGAGCAGGGTAATTACCACAGTGCTGGATTAGTGCTGCTCCCTTTTTTTGTACCAGTATTTCAAGGGTTTCTGTGACTGACTCAGCTACATTTCAGTTTGAACTCTTCGAGGCTTAATCCCACATCACCCGACTTCAGAGCAACGAGGAATTTAGTCCCTGACTCGCTATTTCACAACTACACACTAAAGCTGTCACCCAGCACCTCTGTAAAATACAACAAAACATGCTTTTTTTTTTTTTTTAATATTGCTTTTTAAATAATCAGCCACCTCTAAGACCTTTATTATGCTACAAACCCCACAGATCTATTACTTATTTCAGTAATGCAGTTAAGGAAACATATGCAGGCATAAAACCAGAAACCAATAAAAGCCATTAGTCCCCGAGCACGGCTCACTGTTTTATCAGTGCAAGCTCTCTGGTGTGACAGCGCAGGGCTGGCACTGCTGCCATTCCAATTAATTACAGTCACACAAACTAAATGCTTGCAATTGTGCCAACAGAAGTTTTAAATTCAACTGGGAGAAAAACGCTTCAACACTTCTGGGGGAAACAAACACCAAATCCCTTTTGTTATTGCTACCCCTGACAAGTTCAGAGCTAAATTCAGAGAATCTAGCCATCAGGTTACCAGTTTGTCAACCAAACAAGGCTTTGGTGTTCACACTCTTGTGTGCATTAGTGAGTTAGTGCAGTGCACGGTGAGGGGATCTGCAGAGCAAAACAGCTGGTGCTGGGAACGTGACACCCACGTCTGTGGTAAATGCATTCCTGGGGCATTTATTACAGATTCACTCAAGTCTTGCTCTGGAGACAGTGTCCATTGGCAGCTGGAGAACACCAGGCTTGCTCCTGGATCACATCTTTCAGTTGAGTTTCATCCCCAAAAAGTCAACTATACACATTCTGAGACACAGAACTGCAAACCAAAGCACGGCACCTGAGAAGTCAAGAGCACATCCCTGACCCAAACTAAAAACCCAACATACATGCACTACAGATGTCCTGACTTAGGCCCACGATATCAAGCCATCCATAGCTGCCACACGTACCTCGTAGTTCCTGGCATTGGTATTAGCTGCCTTCTCTAGCTCAATGCGAGCTCGTTTGTGACTGAGCTCCATCTGCATCTTCTCTCGTTCCACCTGCAGGAGCTGGGATTTGGAGTGGATCTGCCCAGCTTGTTCTTCCAACTGCCCAGTTCACATGGGAAAAAGAACATTGCCCACCATTAACAGCGCTGCAATAACATCGTTAGCTCACACCCTGTACTATTCAGCTGACAATCCCGTGCCATTTTACAAATTACAAGGAAGCTATCACCATGTTTGTGGTACTTCTCACCCCAGCTGCAGGTGTGGAAATCAAGAATTCAACAATACCCTCAGAAATCCACATGAAATTAACGTTAGTTGGAAAGACGTGAATTTCAAGTTCTTCATTCAGAATTTCTCATTCAATCTCTAGAGGTGTTCGGACAAAATGTACTTCTCTATCTGAAATAAGACTAATTATGAACTCCCTAATAGCAGCTAACCAAGAAGCAGAGATCATGCTCCCTGTGAAATTCAACCGCTGAGCAAAATAACATGTTTTTCTACTACCTGCTACAATATTATGCTTTATTATAACAGATATAAGGCTCCTTTGTTCAGCAATATGAAAACAACTTACAATTTAATTTCCTGAGCTGCTGTACAGATATAACAAGCAGGGAAGAAATTCAAAGGACCTTTCTTAAATTTTTACAAAACAGAAATAAATATGTCTGACAATTTAAAAAAAAAAAAAATAATAAAGATTCAAGGATGTCGACCAAAAGTAAGCTTCCATTATTGAGCTTGCATGAATAACAGTTTTAGAAAGGATGGTCAGATCTTAATGAAATCAGTCCCGATTCCTGGAATCAAAAGGAGTCTCCAACCCCAGGGAAGCAGGAATCCCGGAGCCCAGGACACCTCACCTGCACCCTCTGCTGGTACTGGGTCTGCAAGGAGCTCTGAGACGATCCCGGGGTGGCCAGTCCAGACACCCCCTCCATGCGCTGAGAAATGAAGTTGTTGAGGGATCTCAGGGTGGAGAAGACAGTGGTGTTATTTTCCAAGTCCTCCATGGCTCTGGAAATACACAGAAAGTCATCAGCTAAACATTCAGAGCAACCTACAGTGTATTGGCTGATTTGCTAAAGAGAGGTACATCGCTGCCCCGAGGAAACACTAAATGCAAGATCTTCCAATTTAGAGGGTACAAACCCCAATCCACTAGTTCCTGCTGGGATTCACAGATTACTGCTGGGGCCAACTTCAAGCAGAAAACACTGCCCAACCAAGGCTGAAACTGTACATCTCTGGAATGAGAAACTGACACAGCAGAGCCTGCTCTCCCATGAGCTTTCCACCTGAAATAGTTTCCTTTTTCTCCTCTGAATCTCAGCCCCTAACTGTACAAATAAGAGCTGTTGTAAGTTACATGAAATTGATTTCTCCTTTCCCATATAGTCAAGATTGATTCTGGGATACAAGTTAAGATTGTAGGACTTGAAGACCTACAGCGTATAACACTAAGAAACAGAACTCGTTACTCTTCCTCCAAATGTTTGAGCCTGATGGGTGGCGAGAAGTAATTCTGTATCAGCAGCAAACCCTACCTTCAACATAACTTGATTCAGGTTTCCAAAAAAAAACCACTTTGGAACCCAACTTCCAACAATAAGACATCCCAAGTTCACAGATCACTTCTACAAGTACAGCTGTGTCTCCTCATTCACATAAAAGTTTTTGTCATTCTTCCTTCAAATTGGGAAAGGTACTAACCGAAAGGGCAAAGACAAATCAAGCCTGGACCTCAGCAAAGCATGCAAGGTTTCCCAGGAGACTTTGTGAAGCCTTAAGTGAGTCTCTCTAGTGTGCACACCCCACAGAGCCCCAGAAGTGCAGAAGAAGGTTCAGGACCAGGCAAGGCAACCCCACAACACTCACACAGGCTTGTACTACAAGCACAGATTTGAGGTGAGCTTCCAGGGTAACACAGCAGGTACTCTTTGGATTTATATCTTCACGAAAAGGACACATAATAGAAGCACACAGGCAAAAGATCAGCCAAACCCAAATGAAAATGTTTATTCAAAGTACGTACGTCACTATCACCTGCAAATAAATTCAAGACACCACCCACCAACAGGTAGCCGTGCTGCAGCAAGCCTGTTTTGCAATTAAGAACAGCACTAAGCAGACCCGTCCGCCCCCCTCCCCGAGGCACAAAGCCCTTCGGCACAGCCCCCCATCCCTCACAGCCCCGAGCCCCGCGGCCAGGCCCCCCCAGGCCCTCACGGACCCCCCTCACACCACAGCCCTGCCGCGCCTCGGGAGCGGCGAGCGGCTGCCCGGCGCCGTGAGGCACAGGAGACGCGGCGCAGCCTCCCTTCCCCGTTCCCACACCGCGGGGGAGCAGCGGGGGCTGGACCGAGCGGAGCCGGCGGCCTCTGCAGCCACCCTGAGCCGGCGGCGGCCGCCCTCACTCACTCACCCGCCGCTTGGATCTCCCTCCTCGCCCCGCCGCCGAGATCTCGCGGGAACTCGCCCCCAGTTCTCGCGAGAAGAGCGGCGCGGGCCGCCGTAACGACAGGACTAGGCGCGCAACCCCGCCGCGCCGTACCGTAATGCCGCGCTTCCAGCTCAGCCCGCCCCCTCCAAAACCGCTCGGTGTCCCCCTCGGTGTCCCCGCTGCTCTGTCCCCAGCACAGGGCTGCCACGGTCCTGCCCGGGCAGAGCCCTCCTGCCCCACCGCAGCTGCAGTCAGGATGGAGACCCAGACCGGGAGATTTCAAAGCGACTAAAATTTGATCGATCTGCAAGAGACCCCACATGAGCTGTCTGTAACGAGAAAGATCTGGACACGGGGAGCTGTGCCAGCCCCTCGGGTAGCTCACTCCACAGCCGGCCTGAGCCAAGGGCTATTTAATATAAAAGTTCTCACTTCCAGATAAGGCAGTGGCTAAATTTATTTGCGCAGAGAGAATTGTAGCAATTCCGTCAGTAACTCGCCCTCTCTGGGAACATCTTGTCACCGCACCCAAAAACGCCGTTGGTCAAACACGAAACGTCACCGAAAACATCTGAAAATCATCTGCTCAGTCACCATGGCCCTGCCCTGCCATCATTTACAGGAGTCAGGAGCACAGTGAAGTAGCAACTTGTGAATATAACCCACACCTCCAGACGACGCAGCAGAGCCAGCGGGAACACGCTCCCCAGCCGGAGGGAGCCGCGTGTCCCCGGGGGCTGTGACACGGCTCGGACGCAGCAGTGTGGCACCTGGCACCCACAAAAACCCCTATTTTTACCCGCCCCAATAAACTGCACCAGCTTTTAAGAACAGCGAAGAGGCCATAAGCTGGTGCAGAGTCCCCTTGCTGTTCCCTCTCGTGATTAGCCTCAGACGTGACAACCCCAGTAGAGCAATGATTTTCAAGCACACGTTAAAAAAAACTCATATAACCACTCTTTCATTTTCATTTCCATTGCTCCAGCCCCAGAGGTTGCCTTTCAGATCACTCCTCTCCAGTCCCCACCAGCTTCTCCCCGGGTGAGGAGTCAGATTGGACGCCTCCGCTTGTGTAATTAGTGGATAAACTCGGTGGGACACCGCCCTGGTTTATTTTTGTACTTGAAAAGCATGATGTTCTCGGTAAAAATTGTGGCAGATTTTCCCAGGTTGTTCTCAACAGTGTCACGGTTCCAGTCAGGAGTCTTAACGCTGGGATTTTTCCTTAAATAGATGCCAAATTCAGCTTTCCCATCCACGTCCCATCTCCTGCTGGATAACCCGCGCTCCCCAGCGCTCACTTCCCTTTGTACAGCCTCGCCAAATAATAAGATTCGGCCGAATCCTTCCGGCTGGCCTGAGGCTTGATCGTCCTCACGTCCTGGAACTGCTCCTTCATCCTGTTTTGCAGGAGGCGGGAGTCATGTCCATCCCAAAATTTACAGAGCATTGTCCCTTTGGGCTTTAAAATGCTTTTGGACAGATCCAGAAGGGCTAAACACAGACTGATCAGCTTCTGATGATCCAGTTCTTTGATGCCCGTCGCGTTAGGAGCCATGTCGCTCAGGATAACGTCCACCTTCTCGTTGGGAAGCATCGCTCAGGATAACGTCCACCTTCTCGTTGGAAAGCAGGCTCTGGATCATCCTCAGCGTGGCGGGGTCTGCAACGTCAGCCTGCGAGAGGAACACTGCTCCTTCCAGGGGAGGAATCCGCAGGAGGTCAACGCCGAGGACGAAGCCAGTGGGGAGAGCAGGATCTAGATGGTAAGGATGAAGGACATGCTGAGCACTCATCAGGGCTGCAAACAACCCCCCCACGCACCAGCTCCAGGCAAGTCAACAAACAAGAACCTTATCACCTGCCTTGTCTGGTCTGCTCCTCCTTAGACCCTCTGCCGTGTGCATCCACATGGATGCTTTGCTATAAACCAATCCATCCACGACAGGAAAACTCAGTTACTTTGGATAAGCACGGAGTGTCCTTGCTTTTCTTTTTTTTTTCCTGTTCTTTCAAATCTGGCAGTCCAGAAATCCTGGACAACAGCACAGACAGTAACACCTTATCTTGTAAATATTAATGGCTTAGAACGCATAAAGAGTACACGGTGATTACCACCATTTTTCAAAGATGGGAAATAAAAAAAAATAACAGAAAAGCCAAGTTACTTGCTGGAGGCTACATGAATTTCAGAACTGGATGAAGGGATTCTCCCCACAATGCAGTTAATCCAAACATTTTGTTACACCTACAGTAGCACCTCATGGCAAGTTTTTACTTCGTAAAGATGATTTCTCCAGACCATATGACGATTTCCACAGTCACACAAACACACATCTTCATGCTTCTACCACTGACTCTGGCGTTTGCCAGTGCCTGTGCCCCTTCCCCACACCGCCACCATTGCAGCTGAGTTTTCTCACACACTTCAAGATGAGCACCATCCCCATCTTACCCACCACAAACGTTCACTTACCGGTACCTAAGGCGTTGACTCTCTCTACAGCAACCTGGCTCCAAGCACCAGGTGCTGCTCCACAGTCCAGAACAGCAAGCCCTGGGCGAAGAATATGAAGCTTGTCATCGATCTCCAGTAGTTTGAAGGCACTTCGGCAACGGTAATGCTGCACCTTGGTTGCCTTGACGAAGGGATCCTTCAAGTGCCGCTGCAGCCACTGGTGCTCAGTTCCAGTTTTCTTCAGAAAGCCCGCCGTGGTGTGGAGACATTTGCCTGCCAGTCGCCGACAGCTGCCCAGGAACACAGGTGAGTTAATCAGGTAGCGCATCACCACCATGTACTTCAATAGTCTCTATGGTAATTAATTCTAATCTTGACTACCGCTCCCCCCATTTGTCACCAGGCTCAAAGAAAAACCTCCAAATTGGAGATTTTTGGCACCTTTAGTTATCTGGTGCAATCTCAATGTCTTTCAGATGGAGGCCTCATGGGTTACCCCCTGAGCGGAGGCAGGGAAGAGGGCCCAATCCTAGGCAAAGAGGGCCCCAATCCCGGGCAAAGAGGGCCCCAATCCCGGGCAAAGAGGGCCCCAATCCCGGGCAAAGAGAGCCCAATCCCAGGCAAAGAGAGCCCCAATCCTAGGCAAAGAGGGCCCAATCTTAGGCAAAGAGGGCCCAATCCTAGGCAAAGAAGACCCCAATCCTAGGCAGCTCTTGGCTTCTGTTCTGGTGCTTGCACTGAAGGCCACGACATGGCAGACTGACCCCCGGGAGGACCTGGGCTGACCTCAGAGGACCTGGGGCCTCCATGAGGGGGGACGCGGGAGTACCTGAGCCCCTCAGAGGACAGAGGGCCCCCCCCAACTACTGGAGGCTCCTTCGGGTCTGGGAGCAGAGCACACCCACCGCCACCACCCTCCAGGCCACCGACCCCCACGCCGGCACCGACAAACCCCTACACGCCCCTTCCCCGCTCCTGACGGAAACTTACGGCGCCGGGACTAACACCGCACCTCCCCGGGGGACACCCCCACCACCGTGACGGGGCCCGGCCCGGCGCCGAGCTCTCCTCAGCGGCCCCTCACGCACCTGCCCCCCCGCCAGGCCATGGCGGCC